GTTTATAAACTATGACATTTATAAATGTATGAATCATATGGTGAAAAACTGACTTTGAAAAATAAATCTGTTCTTTTTTTCTTATAAAAGTCTAAATAAAACAAAAATATCAGTTGTAAGTTTTCACTGTGTAACTTTACAAACGGCACCCCATAGTTTCAGGCATGTAACTAAACCTGTTTTAATTAAGACGTAACCATAGTTACACAATAGTTTATAAATGTCAAACCTTAAAAAGGATACTAAGACAAATGGTGTGGTGCTTCAAATCAGTAACTGACTGACTAATAAATTCCTTCAGATAAAAAAAAGTTAATTTTTAATTTTCTTCTGCTTGCAGCTCAGTTTACAGAGGGCTGAAGTGATGTGGTGATAATAAGGAGTGTTTATTGTTGTTTGTGCAGCTCTTAGTGCAGTCATGTCTCTGTCAGACTGCGTGTCGCTCCTGATGAATTATTGAACAGATGATCCAACAGTCGACAGAAGAAACTAAACAAACCGGTCCTGCAATCACCGCCCGCCTCCTGAGGACCGCAGCGCGTTTGTTTGCTGATAGATCGAGTCAATATTGACCTTTAACTGATTTATTATTTATTGCTGAATTTCTGGGATCAACACTGCAGGGGAGMGGAAATGAACCTGCTTCTTTGGGAATCAAAATATTCCAGTAAACGTTCAATTTTATGATCTAAAATCCTAAAAGATCTCTGTTAGAGCGCTGAAAACTCTTGAAATCTGAAACATCAGGTAAACTTCAAACATCTGATCTGTCTTGTTAAATGTTAATAAAAGAAATAAGGTTTAAATGTAAACGCTGTGTTTTAATAGGATGGCCGAGGTGAGCAGGACCTCTCGCCTGGAGCGACTGGAGATCGGGTACGAGAGCCTGGACCACTTCACCATCGACACGGAGCACATCTCTGACCTTCTGAAGAACATGAACTTCTGCTTCTGTAGGTGAACTTACAAACCATGACATCATCCTTAACCCTTTAAATTCCACTTAGAAACTAAAACAAATAAAGCCAGGATTAGACATCAATGTGAGTTCATTTAACTGTGTTCTAGGTTCGGGGGATGAAGAAAACCTGGAGGAGGAGGAGGAGGAGGAGGAGGAGGAGTTTAAAGACTAAATAGAAAATATCCTGATGCATCTCAGTAATCCAGGTAAAAAATCAAAAAGAAAAAAATTGTATAGGTCCTCTGGACGGGTTT